GATATAAAGAAAATAAAAGTGAGGAAATCTAGCATAGTGCTAGAGATAATGATGTTTACATGTTTTGATTAATTATCATCTCATTGATTCTTAGACTCTAAACAGTGGGTAACATGTATGGTAATTATTACCTTTATCAACATCATCATCGCTATCACTTCTATGAAGCTGATCATGTATTAAGTAAGTAGTGTTCTAAACCCTTTATAATGTATTTCATCGAACCCTTACAAAAGCGCTATGAGTAGGTACTACTATTATCTTCATTTTGTAAATGAGGAGACTAAGACCCTGTTAGCATGAGATAAAATGACTGGGCTTCCATAGCCTACAAGCGATGAAGCCAGGATTGGAATCAAAGCAGTCGGACCCCAGAGTCATGCTTATGACCGCTCTACCCAAGTAGAGGGCATTGCTCTGTGTAATGGAGCGGATATTAAATTGAGATCCACACAGAAAAGAAATCAGTATGCTTCAAGTTTCCTCAGTCACACCATCAGGGTAATAATAGGTATTTCCTATTTGCCTCCTGGGGCTATTTCAAAAATGAACAAAGTTGCCTAAATTCAAAAGTTGTATGTTCCCTGAGGAAAATATAAAAATTTAGAGTATAGTAACTAATACTAGCTGTGCATATTTGATGTGCACATGTATTTATTTTTCACTTCATCTGGGGATATCTCAAAAAATAGACTTGTGGCACAAAAAAGCTATAATAGTCAATTACTCAAAAGAGGACAATTCAAAGACGACAATTTTTATCCTAAAACAATGAAATTAAACTGTATCCTTTATGAATGTTTTTAAATTAATCATATGAATTAAACAAAGCCTTGCTAAAAAATACCAGTGAAGATTGCATAAGAAAGAAAAATGCATTTAATTCTCACTGAAGAATGTATAAATTAATCCCCTCTCCTGAAATTATTTATTGAATTTCACAGGCCAGCAGATTGGTGAAAGAGTACCAGACTGAACAAATAGTAATTATATCAGGAATTCAAGGATGGTTAATATTATTCAGTTATTCATCTAGTCAATAAAAATGTTCATCATTCAGTTCAAGGTAAAAAGAAATATATTCTTATATCTTAAATGTATCTCTACCTTTACTTCACTCCTCACAAATAAGCATATGACCAATTTTAATATCCTGTCTTGACTAAAAGAAGATAGATATCTTTAAGAGGCCAGGAATGAAAAGAAGTTTTCTCAACATGGTAAAGAATATTTATCCTAAGCTAACCACCAACGTCATACTTCGGGGTCAAAGACTTGAGACACTAACATTAAAATTAGGAGTAAGATAGGAAGCTGACTATCCTTGTATTTAACATTTTTAGAAGACTTAATGCAAAAACATAAAATTATTATACTAGATACAGCTTCTGGCAAGAATGATCACAATTATAATTATTTGCAAATAATATTATAAATATAAAAATAATTGAAAGAAGCAACTGAGAAACTTCTAGAACTAAAAAATAGTGGTTGGATATCAAACACACGTAAAAACTCTATTCTGTTAATGTTTATCAGTAACAAGAAATTAGGAAATACACTGAAACAGAAAAAATGTAATGTTCACCATTGAAGTAAAAGTGTAGGATACATAGAAATAAGTTTAATATGAGAAATGCACAACCTATACAGATAATAACAAAAACAGTTTACTGTGAGACACAAAATGTTTTGAATAGAGAAGAGTATTATTTTCCTGGGTTGAGGGAAGCTAATTAAATAGTGTAAAGACAGCAATTCTTTACACATAGATTTAATACCATTCCAATAAAAATTCCAATAATGTTTTTTGGTGAAGAGATTGAAATTGTGAATCAAATTCTGTCCTTTGGAAGAATATATAATTACATGCAGTCAAGAAATTAGAAAAGAAGAAGAAAAAAAAGGGCCTTGCTTTGCCAGGTACCATAACTTAATATAAAATAAAGGTAGTCAGAATACTGTAATAAGAACTAGAAGATAAAGAGAACAGAATAGATGATCCTTCAAACATATCTTAATATGGATAAAACAAATTTATATGTATTCGGACACCATACTTTATCAAAGAGAAAAGGAAATGTTAATAAATAAATGTTTCTTTAAAGTAATATATATTTGGAGAAAGATACCTCCTCATACCACAATAAGTTCTAGAAATATTAGAGTTGGATCTCAAATTGAATCATAGAAATATCATAGTGTCTCAGTGTAGGTATTGAAAGACATGTGCCTGCATAAGATCACCAGGAGAATGAGTGTAGTTAGAGAAGCAAACTGTTCCAAGGACTATGGGAACCCCAGTGTGTAGATCTCAGGTAAGGAGCTAAACATAGCCAAGAAGACAGAAGGTGTGGTCACCCAGGTTGGAAATCCCTGGAACAGCATGTCCAAGGAAGCAAACTGAACAAAAACTTTTAAGATGAATGGATAACTCAGAGTAGCAAATGCTGCTGAGCAATCAAGAAAGATGAAGACTGATAGATGAACACTAGTCGCAGGGTTCAGTATGCTGGTAGAGGTAAAAGCCTGATTTTAGTAATTCAAGAGAGAATGGTGGGAGAGAAATTGTGGAGAGAGTATAAATAGCTCTTCAGTGTATAGGAGAGGAATGAAGTGGTAGAAGTCAAGAGGGAAAGTGAAGGCAAGAGAATTTGTTTTTATTTTTATTTTTGTTATTATTATTATTATTATTATTATTATTTGGAAGAGAGAAGAAGAACCAAAAAGTGATGATACAAGAGGGAGGTCGAAACAGGGATGGGTGGAGTAATGCCCTCGAGCAGGAGAAAGGGCTGGGATCAGGGGAACCTTGGTGGCTCAGCCTGTTACGCAGCCAACTCTTGATTTCGGCTCAGGTCATGATCTCACGGTTTGTGAGTTCAATGCCCACATCAGGCTCTGGGCTGATAGTGTGGAGTCTGCTTGGGATTCTCTTTCTCCCTCCCTCTCTCTCCCCCTCCTCCACTCATACTCTCTCTCTCTCTCAGAATAAATAAATAAGCTTTAAAAAAAAAAAGGCTGGGATTTAAAGCATAAGTGCAGAGTTGGTCTTTTCTAGAAATAAGAAAAGTTCATCCAAAACGATGGAAGACTCAGATAATTGTACACAGATGCAGAAAAAGTGGGTGCAAATGGCAGTGGAAGATCATGTTAGTTCTCTTCTGACTGCTTCTAATCTCTCAATGAAATAATAAGGAGCATGACTATCAACTAAGAGTGAGGCTGGAAAAGGGTTGGGGGAGGGGGCTGAGGGCTTGAAGAGAAGGGGAAGGTGTGCTATAAGCATCCAGAAATGTGGGAAGGGAAATGGACTAAAGAAAAATGGCATGACCGCAGAGCAACACGAAGGGTCCATTTGAAGTGAGTGATAATGAATTTATGGTGAGATTAGACAGCATACTTGTCTGTTTTTCATCAGCCACATTCAGCTTAGAAGGAGTAGAATTTACCCAGTGTTAGAATTCATGGAGTGAAAATAAGTAAAGGAGCAGCACGAGAAATGAACATTACAAAGCAGCGATACCAATGGAATGTTGAATATTAAGCTGGTTGAGAAAGTGAGGGCATGAAAGAGGTAAGGAACAATGAATAGGTGTGAGCATCAATGGTGAGACTAAAAAGGCTGAAGATGATGTATTAAAAAGTGAACTGGAGAGTAAAGAGATGGTAGTCAAAAAGAGTATAGTTGACCTTGAGACTGTGGAGTCACTGCAGTTACTCCTAATGACAAGTTCTAGAATAGCACCATGGAGTAAGAACAAGAAATGTAGTTAAGGGTATGGAAAAGTTAATTTCATGGACATTAAAATCACCAAGAATTATTAGGAATAATGGTAGAACAATGATACAGAGGAAAAATCTTCAAGGAAGGAGGTGGGTGACCTGAGGATTCATAGAGAACATCAACGAGCGGGTGTAGTGGGCAAATAGATGGGGGCATGAGATTCATAGCTGGGTGTTGTTATGAGGGAGAAAGGAGGATGATATGAAAGTGGCCATGAGGAGCAAGGACGCCTGCCTACCTTCATGCTCAGGCAAATGAAAAGCGTGAGGGAAAATGATAGTTACTCCTTGGGGGCGCTGTGGGAGGAGCAGTATGTCAGGGAGAGCTAAATGAAGAGAATACTAAGTGAACAGGGAGAATATGTGGGGGATTTTGCTGAGTTCCGATCTTGAGTTCCAGAAGGCTCACTGAAGGGGTTTCCAAAGATGGGAAGTGGGAAATGGGTTTAGCAAATCTGATGTCCAGAGCTGTGTGAGGATTAGAGTCTGGGGAACTCTAAGTGGTGACACGGCAAACTTGAATTTCTTGAGTCCTGATTGTTCCAAGGTGGAGGGCAATGGTAGAGAGCAGGGTGTTAGCATGAACAGGACAACAGCAACAACAACAGCAATAACAACAACAACAACAACGAGCAGCTGGAACTCTAAGGAAAATGGTTAAATTATGGGATATCCAATCAAGACTAAAGATTTCAAGGAACATCCAGCAACACAACATGCTCAAAATAGCTACATTTAAAAAGCAGAACATAAAATGGCATACATGGTATTATATAAATCTTATTTGTAAATGCATGCATAAAAATGGTAGAAAATACCTAAAAATTTAAATGTTTATGTTAAATCTTAGATGATTTTTACCTTTTTAAAATATTTTTTATCATTTCCAAATTTTAATAAGTTTATTTGCGGGTGTAATCAGAAAAAAGTCCTCGTGTATTTTTAAATAAATAGTAGTGCTCCCAGGTGTTCTTCTAAAATGCTGTTGATATTTTATTTCTCGACAAGAGCAGTGGCTTTTCCAATTATCAATTTTTAATTACTTTAAAAAATGCATAATATGGGTAAATGTTTTTTTTTTCCTGCATGTTTTATTTCACACACATACACAATTAAGTTCCCTGCAATTTCTCTCGCCTCTGCACATGGTATCTGAGCATGTGTAAACATAAATGAGCACATGGGCCTTCTTCACGGAAGGCTCAGGTAAATACCTGGCATATAGAAGTTTCAGGGTCACATAGGCTGCTGTGTCCATTACACTGACATGGAACGCAGGTACCCAGGGTTGGTCTAGGAGTGTGGCTGCCTGGCTCAGACCGTAGTCGATAAAATCCTGGCATGCATGTCTGAAAGAAAAGGAAACCAATTAGGGCAGCCAAGTTATAAATCTTCATTTAGCAATACTTGGGTTCTTCAGTGGTTAAAAAGGACTACTTTTCCCCTCCCTGCATTAAAGGCAACATCACTTATAAACACAAGTGCCAGTTTTGATTCCTAATGTGTACTTTTGTGTGGTCCTTCAAGTGTACCGGGAGCATCCGAGACATCAGACCTTGGAAAGGAAAGCTGTCATTTGCATATACCACTCAGTCTGAAACAACTTCAAGTAGTTATTTTTTGTTTTTTATTTTTTTTTGAAAAATAGGTTTATTTTTAAATAAAATTGTCATTTGGACTAGAGAGAGAATTCCAATGTCTTTGACAACCTAAAATCTGCTTCTGCTGTGCCTGATGGATAACTAGCAAATGTCCAATGAGACTCAGGGAAATATTAAATAGAAAAGTGTCATGGTTGCATTATTTATATCGATATAATTTAAAGACGATAAAAGCAAGAAATTCAAAATTCTCCTGTCTTGGGAATATTAGGCCACCAATAAAATTTATCTTTCCCTGATCCATTTTTTTTTTCATTTTGCAACAAAAATCTGAGAGCAAACAGAAAACTGCTCGCAAAGCTGACATATGCAAAATCAAGACTTCTATCTTCATTCGGGTTTATTATGCAAATGTCTCAAAAACATCTCTGGCTTTCTGGAAGGAAGCCCACAGCTCTGAAGAGGTAATGAGAATAGTCTTGTGTTCCAGACTCAGTCCTCTTGGTATGCAAAGCTACTGCATTTATCAGATGTTGTTTGATTTAGGAGTAAAAGGTAAGAGTTGGTTTTTCAGATCACAGTGAAGGTTATAAAGGGACTGTTTTACCACCTTGGCTATGTATGATTTTTTTTGTCACAGGATATCTTGTTCCCATTGATGAAAGAAAAGTGATTGCTGAATAAGCAGGAAAAAAATATGCATGAAGGACTCTCTAATGCCTCTGCATTCTTTTGGTTCTGGACTAGGTCATCCAGAGTGGAATATACAAAAAGCTTCCTTGGAAAAAGAAAAAGATCAATAGTCAGCACTCTCCTTGCTTACTTTGATTTGGATACAGCAAAAGTACCTCCATTAAGCATTTAATTAAGAGTCTCTTTGCTTTTATCCCAGCCTATGAGAAATTCCAAGAAGATTAAATAATGTCCCAGCTTCGAGCAATCCAGTAAAGAAAATCAGGAACAGTATTCAAAATATTTTGAGTCTCGTTTGTCTTGTGGTGGACTTAATAATATATTTTAATACATATTACATTTTAAAATTTAAATATAATGCATTGTCTTTATTCATATTATTTAAAATCAAGGTTCATATTGCCATTGTTACCAAATAAAGTCTAGGAATTATGGCTGAGTAATTCATTTAAGAAACTGAAGAAACAAGTCAAGGTGTATTGAAAAATATTTCACAGCATGAGTTGTTCCAATTCTTTCATATGTGGACTATAGAATAAAACTCGATTTTCTTTACATGAATTTCACCCTTGGGCACCTATATAATTATTGTTATTTTACTGGTGTATTTGCTTAGGGTGTAAGTGGTGTGTGTGTCAGTGTGAAAATCACACAAATTAAGATCTCCTAGCTCCACTTTAGACCTCAAAGAAAAGTTTAAAAGAAATCTCAGAGGAAGAATAAAATTCAGAAACAGGAGTTTTCATTGAGGAATTCTATGAAATTCAGTGGTATAAACTGAAAGCAGAAGGTGAGCACCACAGGTGAAGTTTACCATAACACACACCCAGTTTCTCTTGTTACTATGGCTCTTCCCAGGAAACATAGCAGGACAAAAAGGAAAACCACCCATAGTAGGAGTTTGAGCCTGAGCTCCAAGTGGAGCTCTGTGTTGAACCTTCTAGGCCGATCTTTGTGGTTTCCAATCCTGGCTGCACATAGAATCATCTGAGGAGTTTTATATACTGACACCTGGCTCCACCTCCAGAAATTCTTATTTAATTTAATTGGTGGAGAGTAGGGCCAGGGTTTAAAACTCCGAACTGGGTCTAATAAGCAGCCAGAATTGAGAATCATTGATGTGATCGTCATTCTTTGCTGCTAATGTTTGCCTTTTAAAGGCGTTCAGACTCTGGCACTGTGGCACAGATGACTATAAAAGCCTTAATTTTACACGATAGTTTTGTCTGAGGAATACAGGCAAGTCGCCTGGTGTCACTGAGACATGCTTTCCCCCCCCACACAAATGAGCAGGTGTATTAACTCAGATGATTTCTGATTTTTCTTTCAGTGCTAACACTTGAGACAAATTTTATGTCCTGACAGATTGAATTTCTAAGAGATAGCAAAGCAAAAGAGACTATGCAAGAGTTAGAAACTTAGAACACTTTTTCAAGGAACTGGATGTTATTTATTCCATCATAGTCCCCTCCTTTCTTGGATATTTTTTTGTATTTATTCTTTCCACTTTTTGATATTTTTGAGGGAGTTTTTCCATATCAGATATTTTCTCTTCTCAGTGAACGGGGGTAAAATTCATGAGAATGATTATGCTTGAGTCGGAATAAAAGAGGAAAGATAATAGCTACTTTTTCAAGTCCTGTCTAAAATCCTTTCTGAAACAAAATGGAGAATTTAAAAAAAGCAAATAAGTAAACACTGTCCTAATAGTATCTCCTTCTTTCTAACTCAAACTTTTCCAAAGCCTTCTTTCCATGTGCAAAAATTATTCATAGCTCAATCATCTTCTGCTGTCCTTCCATTTTTATTTTTATAATATGGCATCTCATCAAAATGTATGAATCACATTTACACAAAAACGTGGGAGGAAGGAAACAAGGAAATGAAGACAAAGAGAACAGAGAATCTCCAGGTGCAGGGTTACACAACATCCCCATCTCTCTCCTCAGACTTTAACAAGAAAAACAGACACTTGTGCTGTTGCCAGTGGAAACACTATCTTCTGTCTTAGATGGGTTTTGCAACCAGGCAGTCCTTAGTTTAATTCTTGTTCACCGCTTACTACATATAATTTCACGCAGGTTTTGAACACTGTGGTTGCGGTTTCCTCACCTCAAACGTAAGGATCTGGATAACATCCTAGTTGAGTATGCAAGTGCATCTAGGTTTTTTGAAACAGACTTATCCAGGCTCAAATCACAGTTTTGCTGCTTTCTAGCTGTGTGATTCTGGGCTGGGCTTCCATTTTCCCATCCACAAAATGGGGATCACAATACATACTCAATGTTGATGTAAGTATACCAGGAAATGTGCTTGGTATTGTACAGGATCCATCCAGCAAATGGTAAGTTTTTTTTTTTTTTCTTTTATAAGGTTGTCGGGAGGATTAAATAAGATGAGGTATGTTTCGTGCTTGACATATACTATATCAACATAGATGCCTCTATTCCAGATAACTTGTTAAACATAGTCATTGAAGACAGACTAAAAATAAAAACAACAGTAATTGTTCTACACCGCATCGGATCACAGAATATCAGTGTATACCACTTACCCATACCATATTCCTCAATAATTGTATGCACATGAAAACAGTCTTTGGATCTTCCACATACAACAAAAGTGGTGCAGGGCATCCCAAGAGATGTGCGTATGGAAGAAGAAAAGCCTATTTTCATTATTTTGTCTTGAGTTTTGTGAGTTGATAATAGGTATATATTTTGGGGGGATTTAAAAAATTATTTTTAGTAACCAAAGTAACAACTTCTGAACGGTGACTCAGTGGACACCAGCCATTCAACTGTGAGCCAGAAGCCTTATTTTACCATGAGAGTGAGGAGATAGATGCTGAAATGAACAACATATGATCCAGAGATCATCTGCAAATATTTGATTACCATGGTCTTCTTGCAGAGAACCACATACTCAATGCCGACTATTTTCCATTTCTGCATATAACCTAACCTGAGTTTAGGTTTGTTTTGGTCAGTTGGGCAATAATATTAACTGAGACAATGGTGAGAAACAGCTTCAATAAAGATAGTAAAGCCAATAGCTGTCACATCAACAAATGTGGTAAGGAAATTGGGTCTTCACTTCTAAAGGTAATCTGGTCTTTTACTTCAAATCATAAATTGTACAAAGTAGGTATGTCTAGAACTAACATTTTCAATGAACAGGGCTGTAGCATCATAAGACTACAAGTAACAGATAAAGGCGAAGTGTCTTCACAATTGGCTATATTTTCAGCAGTAACTAACACTTAATTTTATTTATTTGCAACCACATTTTGGGTAAAAACATGAAATGAATAGCTTGTAAATGCAAATGTCTCTAGAATACCATACATTTGGCAAAAATATTGTAAAGGAATTGCTTTGTGTATTCATGACCCAAAGCATATGTTACTGGAATGGGAAGTATTATTTCAAAACTGTCCTTAGCTCTTGCTTTGATGATTAGATTTTATGCTTGGGTAATTACACTTTAGAATCAAGATGAATTATAAATAAGATGTATAATGGATTAGAGGCAATGGGATGTGGAGAACACCTCGGGCACCTTATTATGAGAGATAGGCCTTTATCCCCATAATCTCAATACTAAGGTATTACTGTAATTATTGTCTGTAAATGAGAGCTTAAGTGAAATTCACAGGACATAGGTGAAGCCCAACGAAGATGCTAGTTTGTATGTGTTTCTAGTTTTCTTAATCTTTTTCATTTATCATTTTCCTTATTTGTGCTAATAAATATTTTCATATAATGATGGAAAATTGCTAAGATTAATGGGAAAGTATGTTTTAGAATATGCTATTTAAAAAGCCTACCAATAACAAGAAGAATTTTTTTTAAATTTTTTTGTAATGATTATTTATTTTTGAGACAGGGAGAGACAGAGCATGAACGGGGGAGGGTCAGAGAGAGAGGAAGACACAGAATCTGAAACAGGCTCCAGGCTCTGAGCTGTCAACACAGAGCCCGATGTGGGGCTTGAACTCACAAACTGTGAGATCATGACCTGAGCCGAAGTCGGACGCTTAACCGACTGAGCCACTCAGGTGCCCCAAGAAGAAGAATTTTTAACATTTAAAATCTGGAGTGGAAGGTAGAATGAATTAAAATAATTTGCTACTCGGCTAGCATTTTTATTTGTAAGTGAACAGCATTATTTTAAATAAATGCAGAAAAAATAAAGCTGTAGTAGCTTTCTCTTCAGGACAAGTAAAGGTCAATCTTGCCTACTTGCTCCATACTTTTTATAGCAAAATCATATTGCAGAATCAGAGAATTCTACAACTTCAAAACCCAATGTGTTCTTTTATAGATTGGATAACTATGTAACAACTCCTATAGCAATTAAAGAATTGACCAAAGTCGCATAATAATGTTATAATCAAACATTTCTTGGGACAAAATTCTAGAAAAGTCTCAAGTTCTTTCTGTCTTGTATCTTTGAATCTTTTATGCTCATTGGAAAGGTAGCATGTTTTATATGTGCCACATTCACTGTCTCATTGTTCACATCTACACTGTGTGTGCATATGTGTATTTTGGTTGGTTGTGCATATAAGTACAATACATATACTTACTGGTGTGTACAAGTGCATATTGTCTATGTAGGAGTTATGATTTAATAATGAGGTGGATTATTTGATTATTTATGATCAAAATAGACACATTCATATGACTATTGTCTTTCAAAACGATCACAAAGCTATTATTCTAAGGATGTTTCACAGATATTTGCAGTTATTCTTATGAAATTCTTCTCTGAACAATGTGGAATTTATATAGTGGTAATTAAGTTGAATGACACTGCAGTTTACAATAGGGCTTTCACACGCATATTTTCATTTAAATCAATCCTCATGATAATTCTATAGGTAAAAATCCTCAGGTCCAGCAACAGGCAAGCAAATGCCCTGTCCAAGTGGTGAAACTAGGGAGGCTTCACTGAGACCAAACCCCTTTTCATTATAATAGGCTACATCTCAAGATATTTATATTCATTATTTTTAAGTTACTTTAGTTTTGACCTGGTGCCATCACCTGCTTTAGGATTTCTCAAATCCTATTTACAAAAGATGCATGAAGTTTTTTCAAAGAAACCAGTATGTGGACATACATTGAATTATTCCATAATAATACTATTAGCATCAACCCACGTGGACTACTGCCAGGTACTATAAGAAATACTTTAGGTTCTTAGCTCATTTCACCTTCATAGGAGGCTCAGCTATTAAAAATATCCAACAAGGTACGCTGTGGGGACCAACCAATCTGCCGCCCTCCCCAGGAGGGAATGTGGGCTGTAGGGCCGGAGCAGGTCTGGAAGAGCCCTCTCATGCCAGCTTTCGCTGGTTGCACTGTGGGAGGCAGGAGAGGGTGAGTGTGGAGGCAGTTAGTGAGGGGCTTAGGGATTTACCAGGCGAAGATTAAAGGGGACTAGTAAATGGTGCAAGGTCTCAGTCCAAGCATATGGTGACGTCGAGATTCAAACCCAGGCCAGTTTCTCATCCATTCCACCTCTTCCCACATTATACTCTTCCTATTAATATTTAATATTCACAAAAATGAAATAGACTTCCAGAGGATAAAGATCTAGAAAATAGGCCAACTCTAAAGATAATCAAAGGAAAATCCCAGAGAGTAAAATAGGCAATTTTAGAAATATAATGACTGAATGATAGTGTCACTATTGGAACAGTATATGTCCTACTGAGAAGCCTATGTGAAAGGGAACAGTCTGCTATTAATTGCCTAAGTTTTGTCACGTTCTACATAAAAACAGTTTTTCCAAGCCCAACATAATCCTGTCTCATAATCACTGCAGCTTAAAAAATGTCTTTAGCCATGTAGAAGAGATGCCAAGAAAATAGATCAGATATACTAAATATGCCTTATGAAAACATTCTTGTTTCCTGACTATTCCGTAGTTTTACAAATCTTAATTTTCATCAAATATTTCCCTCCACATGTGATTCCTGTTTGTACGTAACAATAACACCACCCTGATCTTTTTTTTTTTTAATTTTTTTTTTCAACGTTTTTTATTTATTTTTGGGACAGAGAGAGACAGAGCATGAACGGGGGAGGGGCAGAGAGAGAGGGAGACACAGAATCGGAAACAGGCTCCAGGCTCTGAGCCATCAGCCCAGAGCCTGACGCGGGGCTCGAACTCCCGGACTGCGAGATCGTGACCTGGATGAAGTCGGACGCTTAACCGACTGCGCCACCCAGGCACCCCAACACCACCCTGATCTTACCGTGTCTCACGCTGTGAGTGGAAAGTAAAAAAAAAAAAAAAAAAAAAAAAAAAAAAAAAAAAAAAAAAAAAAAAAAAAAAAAAAGAATAGTTTACGGGTATGCATGAAGAAGTAAACCTGACTGCAGCAAAGACAGTTCTGGAAGTATTTCCATTTGGCTGGTTAAGTGAGTTGAGCTAATGCAGGTTAGTGGGAGCCAGCTTACCTCACAGGACAAACCGGAATAGCCTGGGGGACAATCACATCTTTCTATCAAACGAGCTGGAGGAGTCACCGCTGTTATGCGTCCTTGTTCAGCTACCTCCATCGAGATTTCAGAAATCCTAGAAACAGCGAGTGTGTGCTCGGATCACCACAGCAGTACATTAAACTCACCTAGCAAACACCCAATCCTACAGTCTTCTCAGGTTTTTGTCAATAACCTTGAGCTTTTCCTATTGTTTTATTTATTTTTTTTAAAAAAATTAAATGTTTATTTTTTTTGAGAGAGAGGGATAGAGAGTGAGCAGGAGAGGAGAAGAGAGAGATGGACACAGAATCCCAAGCAGGCTCCGCACCGTCAGCACGGAGCCCGATACGGGGCTTGAACCCTTGAACTGTGAGATCATGACCTCAGCTGAAATCAAGAGTAGGGCACTTAATCAGCAGAGCCATGCAGGCGACCCTGTCCTATTGTTTGAACGCTGCCTAAATACGACTTATTCCTGTATCTTTGCTTCCTCAAAGGCTGAGATTACACATTAGTAAAATATTCACATAAATCATAAGGAGTTTAGTAAATTAGATGTCTGATGTCCTGTTGAGAAGTTATTATGAAGATTTTTTCTCCACATTTTAAAATGTGAGTGGCTTCAGGTAGACATGGCCAATTAATTAGACATTTATATTCCTTCAAACAGACAAACCAAGGTCATTCCCCATTAGAATATCTCCCGTAGTCACTAGTGAAATTGCTTTTAATTTACAACTAGCCCGATTTCTTCCTCTTGAGTCTCTGAATGTCCTTTCAAGAACTTTAGAAAACCATCTAGAAAACAACGATTGAGCATACTCTAATTAAACGCTGATCTCTTTCTGAGATAGAGTACCTTTCAAATTAGTTATTTTGTTAATTTTATTAAATAAATCCTTCAAGTATCTTAACTCACCTTTCCTATTGGTAGAAAGGTCCTTATAATTGAAAACAGTATTCCTAGTAAAAATGTCGATACCCTTTACATTAATTTGAAATTATGCATTAAAAATATATGCAGTCCATAAACTCAGACTATTTCATGACTGACTAACTGGTAACATGAAATGTTCTGCAAATAAACTTTTAAATGAGAAAACGAATAGTTTTGCTTCACTAAAAGTCACCTCCAATAGCTTAAGGAGCTTGAATCATAAACTTTGTAACAAGCATAGGTAGGTTTTATTGACACTGAATTATGAATGCACACTCTGACTTTGCTAGATTGTAATCTGCACCCTGAAGATCAGCCAGCCTTTACGAGGCACATGTTCAATTAAAATTCAGATTTTCCTCTCCCCTCCTTTTAGTAGACAGAGCCTTTAGATCTGTAAACAAACCAATCCCCTCCTGTAAGAAAGAGTCTACCTTTATGTCCCCCTGGATTCTCTGTGGGAGTAAGAAGGTAACATGGTGTTTGTTCACAAGTCAGTTACTTCGGCATTTTATGATATTTTATAACATGAGTTCCTAGCATCCTCTTCCCTTCTCTTATCTATGCATGCACATAACAGGCTAGTGAGTATTTAAAAACCAAGAAAAACTTGGGGTGTCTGAGTGGCTCAGTCGGTTAAGTGTCTTGACTTCAGCTCAGGTCATGATCTTGCAGTGTATGGATTCGAACCACACATCGGGCTCTGTGCTGACAGTTTGGAGCCTGGAGCCTGCTTCCGATTCTGTGTCTCGTTCTCTCTCTGCCCCTCCCCCGCTTGCTCGTGCACCTGTGCGCTCTCTCTCTCGCTCTCGCTCTCTCTCAAAAATAAATAAACATTAAAAAAATTAAAAACCAAGTAAAACTTGAATTGCGTGTCAACAACAGATATTTGTATAATACACCTGGTTTTTCTCAGGAGATGAGAGAGGAACTGTTTTGCTTGAATCAGGGATTTGGCCAAACTCAAGCTTCTATTTAAGTGAATACCGAAATGCAAAGTTGTTATATCCTTCATATAAATGTAGAAGACAAAAGCAAAGAAATGAAAACAACAACGTCAGCACTGACATTATGTACAAAGTCTCAAGCTACATGTAAAACTCTTAAACTCTCTGCTTCTGAGACTACTTTAAATTTGTAACTGAATAAAGACGTAGGCTTATGTCCTAACTATTTTAGCAGGGGCTTTGGGGGTGGGAAGGTTCAAATATATTTTTCACCTTTGTCACAACTCCACTGTATTAGAAACGTAAGGGCAGGTCCTTTGCTTTATTTGTTCTTATTGTTGATACACAATGGCTTTAGTTTTTATTGAGCCTAGAAAAAGTGCTGTATTTATTTATCCTTAGGTTTCAGAAAATCATCTCTTAAACCAAAGCATTTTATTTAGGGAGATCTGTGAATAACGTGACAAGAGAAAGACTTGTGAGGGGAAAAGACCAAACAACAACAACAACAACAACAAAGTGGTCTTTTCCACCATAAAAGGTGGAAATGGTGTGAGGGAAGCAAAGAAAGTATAATGAAAGATGCATGAAAACGCTGCTTCTGTCAGTTCCACTGACAAAACGTTCTGTGCACTGCTATGTTCTCACTGCAGCATGGAGCCATTTGCAAAGTAACGATTAATTTCCACACTCACAAAGTTACCCGCTGTCTTCCATGAGACGGAAATGTGGCCTGGCTTCTGCCATCTGATTTACACTTGGTATTCTAAAATAATTAATGATATCACTGACAGTATATTTTTAGTACATGCTTTTTTTTTTATCATTTCACAGAAAATAATCTTAGACATGAGAAATGTAAAGAGAACACCATAGGGATACAGATATGAAAGTGAATTTTGGTCCTTGATTTATTCTCTAACCCAAAGGCCCTACTTACGATACCTTCAGAAAAGCAATACGGATCTTCTCCAACAAAGAAAAAAGATGTTCTTCCATGTTTAGTATACTTTAAACATCTGAAAGTTGCTATTTATATATTCATTGCTTTGCCAATAAAAGGCTTCATAACTGTTTTGTTTTGTTTTCCTAAACTGATCTACTACTAATTTATTATACAAGACTATTTCAAACATCTATTGAGTCCATATTTTTACAGGAAATAACAGAGAAACTGACATGCCACAGAAATTGAGACTATGTGTATGAACTCCATGCAACTTTCAGCCTCCATGGTAGGAACCTTAGCTACATCCGTGCAATTCCTCAGTTTATCTCCCTGGATAAGTTGTTCCTTCCACTCTAGGAACATGACCACATGTTGTCATTTTGAAATCTGGCTTCTCCATTATTTTTTCTTTATCCTGTCATTTTAAATGTCTAACTTGCTACAAACTCCTTTCCTTCATGGTTTCTAAACAAGTTTACTTCTCTTTTGGATTAAACCGTCACCCCTTGGCCTTTGACACTGTCCCATTCCTCCCTTTCACATTTATGTTCATGAAAAACAAGAGTCTACACCCATACCCATACACCCATATTATTGGTCTACACCCACTGTATCCCTTTCATTGCTCAAAACTTTGATATCTGCCCCAGGATTCTACTAAAGCTGGTGTTATGAATGGCACAGTGTGATCCTAAGTGTCAGTCTCAAAAGCCTCATTTTAATTGGCCTCTTTGGGTGATATGAAAAGGCTATACTCCCTTATAGGATTCTCACCCTTCGGCTTTCAGGACACCACATTTACTCTTACTATTCTTCTGTTGTTTTCCCTTCAGTGTGATTCCTAATCTTTCACATCATGATGCACAGGGAAAGGGACGATGCTGTAGGGCACACTGGGATGAACATGTGAGAATGCCCATGGTTGGAAAAGATGGGAATAACTAGGCCCTCTCTGGCTCCCCTGAAGGTCAAAGGTCACTGTTTCAGCAATCTTGTAGTCTATTTACAACATAACAGTTATCTATCTCTACCCTATGTGGCTACTCTTGAATTTCTGACATCTAAAACTCACCAGGTCAAAGGTCAACTTGATATATATTTTTTTTCCCCTTAAACTTGCTTCTCATCCTATTATTCTTTTGGGGGGAATGGTAATATCCTCCACCATATGACCTGGATACCGTCCTTGACTTTTGTCTTCTATCATCACACTCTCAAACACTTTGAAATCTTTCTTGTCTGTGTCTTACTGATCTTACTTATAGACTCTAAAATAAGAATTTAGCTTTTATTCCATTAGGGTTTACCTGCTTTGTCTCATGATATTTCCATAAGTTGCTTTGATAAGAATATAATGAATATCATATAGAATATCCAAGAAGTCTTCACGGGTCACGGTTCTACTGATTCGAGGGTCATCACCATAATATTTCCATTCTTTCTGTTAATAAGAGAAACCACTTTGATGAAACTAAATGCGAAACCACTGGAATCCTTGCACCAAACTAATAACCTTACCTCTGTCATTTCAATCTCGTGCCTTGTCAATTGGCCAATTAGAGGAGCAGCCATATGCCTGATGATAATTCTAGCATGAGTAGGAGTCCCACCTCGAATTATAACTTGAGGATTATAGGTGGAGAAACCTGTCTCTTCCCGAGCCTCAAAATAGATCGCGTACTTGAGTTTGCCTCCATAGGCCGTCAACTGATGGAATAAAATAAGGAATGATGAGTTAGATGATGCCCCCCATGGCATGATTCCAAAAGTATATTTTCCTTTGTTCTCATATGCCTTTGAGGTTCTTGTCGTTTACCTTCTTGCCTTCAAATTGTTCTGGAAGTTTCCAGTAAAAGGGTTCCAGGTGGAGCTCCTGTCTCACCAGATCCATATGTGCAACAGTCTCCGGATGTTGAAAAACGATGCCTTTGGTGGTAGTATGCTGCAGAGCCTCGTCCACCAGGGGCAGGATGGTCTGCTCAGGCTTCAGAGTCACCTGCACGGAAATCGAAACACAGCGGGGGGCTGAGTTCACATCTCGTGGGCACTCCTGTAAGACTAGGTGATGGACTTGTGTGTCTACCTGCAGCCCCTTTCTGCTTCCGAGGAGGTGTTCCGACCCGAAACTAAACTCGTGCAGAGTGAGCCAGCAGGATGGGGGTGAATCTTTCAGTCTTGTTTGCATAGGGAAAACTACAACATCTGTGAGAATTGGTCATTTACACTAATAAGAAGTAGAACTTAAAAGTGGGAGGCATTAAGGAAAAATTAGGGTAAAAATGAAAATGCTGCCACCCTAAAAGTCAATGATCCTCTAAGGCCAGGTAGCGTGAATGTGCAGCAGTTCTGGTTTCCATCACTGCCTTAGCGCATACCCACATTCATGCTCCGGTGCCCTCACTCGGAATGCGGCTTCCTTCCATCCCAAAACGTAATGCTTCTTTTACAACGTTTCCCTTTCTTACTTGGCATCTATTTCCTTATCAACAATAAATGAACTATTTTTTTCGAAGATAAAAAAGCATTTACTCCAACCGTCGAAGGCCACACGGCACCAGTTCTAAATGTGCGCAGGGGAAAAGGTTACTTAAATGCTTTACCATTGCCTCCTATCCCTCGTGCCTGGCTGAAAGACACCAGCAAGAACTAACAGTAAACCATTACGTGGCTCAGCAGTTTCTTACTCACCTGCGTACGGATCAGTCCTTTGGCTTCAGAGCACTGGGTAGTGGCGCCGAAGCAATAGCAGCTGCTGCAGCCAAGTGGGTTCTTGGCATCTAGTCCAAACTTGCCTGGCCGGCACCTGTCGCAGCGCACACCTTCTACGTGCACCTGAAGAGGAGGAGAGTTCCTCAGGGTCCATAATGAAGTTGTGAGAGAAATGCACTTGAGAATGAATAATGCTTCTTTTTAATTGAGCAAAAAGGAACGCTGAGTGTTAGACTCACATCACAAATGGCAGTTGTGGTTAATTTCATTGTTAGGATTTCCTAAGTCTAAAACAGGCTCTATTTACACATAAATGCATAGCAAAGGATACCATATATGGTTTTTAAAACCTAAGTAGCACATTTCCTAATATCCACTGTGAACAATACAAAAGAGTCATGAAAATTTCAAAAGCAAAATAGAAACACTGATTCCTAGACAGGGGTGTGACACAAAGTTGTAAAACACAGGCAGGGTGTTACAATATAGGTTCATATAATTATCATGATATGATGTATATACACACATGCAATGCATATTAAATATAGTGTATAATCATAACATGTAATAATGTAGCATTGGACTTTGTGTTTTGTCTGGGGCAAAATGGGCTGCCACTTTCTGAAATTCTGGAGACTATTTTAATAATCACGCCCTGGATTTTATTTTCCTATTTCCTCTGTTCCTCTTTGCACAGACTTTTTCTTGAAAAGATACCTCTGACACAGTCTTAACTATATTTATCCTGGGATTGAGTTTTCAGATCTGTCTAAGGGGGAAAAAAATCCCTCTTATCCTTTTTAATTGGCTGTTTTTCTACATCATTTAACAATATTAATGAGAGCTGAATCTTGCACGCAGTCGCTGTTTGTTATGTCAGTGTTTTTATGTGATGAAATTTTACCGAACTTCCATAGCAGTAAATATATCTTTTCAGTGTACAGTGATTGTGGGTTAATTTGAAGAGAAATGTTTTTTTATAAGCCCTATTATCTAGCTGTGATTTTTCTCTGATGATGCTTAAGAGAACTGTCATTTTTTTTCCTTCCCAAATTACTCCTTTTTAAGCAAAGCAAATATGTAAAGAAAAATTGAACTTTACCATTAAAAATATATCGTCTCTATCAACTAGAATAGAAGTTGGGTTTTGGTTGAAAAGAAGTTCTTAAAGAGAACTTATTATGCCAATATGTGTATGTGTATGCCAATGAACATATATGAATAAAAACTGTGCCTAGTAATGAATTTTTATTTGTTTAATGCCGTGAAGTCCATGAATAACGGAGACTGAAGTTAAAATTAAGCAATGGAAATAGAATCCAGGGAAATCTTTCCTTACCGCATGTCAGCAGCACATACCTTACAGGTGCATTGCCCTGTCTGATCCATACAGGAGCACTTTTTAGTCTCTGAATCGCAGGTCCTTTCATCAGTACCCGGCAGGAAGCACTCGCAGGGGCTGCAGTGAGGGTAGTTCCAGTGACCTCGATTGCACTCTGTACATTTTGCACCAGAGAATTTGGGATGACAGTTGCATTGGCCTGTGTTTGTATTGCATTGGAAATCCAAGGATCCTACTGTGCTGCAGTTACAAGCCTATGGAGGAGATAAAAACAGCAACCATTAACACCATTTCATGGGAAATATCTTAAAATTTTAATTCGAATGTTTCTCTGCTTCCATTAAATACATATTAATCATGTGTCTGTTATATGCTTTGTACTGTTCTAGTTTAGTCACTTGGGAAACATCAGCGAACATAACATTAAAATCGTTTCCTGCATTTACTAAAACAGATGACTGTTCAGAAAACATAATCCTATTGAATAAGAAATAAAATGTGTTTGTTTCTGTCTTTTTTTGTGGCAAGGAAGAGGAGTTAGGTATGGGTTTTCTTCAACCGCTTTCTGTTTCAAAGAGTGAAGTTTAGACAAAGTCATTCTACCTTATCATCTCATTTTTACAGAATTAAAGTTGTAAAGAGACTTATCTCACAGTCTAACAGAAGGAGACAAGTGAGTATATATATAACAGCATGGAATAAGAATTACATAATAGAAGTGCAGAAGTCTCTGAGAACATACAGACTCCCAAACCAGATTTGGGGAAGCTGAGAGGACTCAGGCAAGTGACATCTAGAATGCACTTTTCTGACATTTAGTTTTGCAAATGAGCCTGATTTGAGGGGCTTTGCTGCTAACCTATTTTCTTCTTCCTAGGCATGCATAAGCTTGTTCTCTTTATTTAGGTAATTCAAAGTTTTGCTAGAATTTTTAAAAGTTTGAGTCTTTTTTATTAATTTACTGGAATCTGTTAAAGTTCTTTCAGTTTGAGAACAAAATTACTTTTGATTGAAATTTTTAGTTCTGTTCTATTTTTTTAAGTTTATTTATTTATTTTTGAGAGAGAGAGAGAGAGAGAGAGAGAGAGAGAGAGAGAGAGAGAGAGACATTAGAATCCGAAGCAGGTTTCAGGATCCAAGCTGTCAGCACAGAGCCTGACATGGGGCTCAAACTCATGAGCAGTGAGATCATGACCTGAGCTGAAGTCGGAAGCTAAACCGACCGAGCCATCCAGGTGCCCCTAGTTCTGTTCTAATTTACCAATTTTCTTCTTCAGAATCACCTGCAATTCTTAAAGTATACCACTTGTGTCTGTTTGCAAAATCTGTAATATTAGGACCTAATATTTTCTGTAGTTTTCTATTTGCCTCTCAAATTTGTTGACCATTTTATAGTGCCCATTTTACATAGTGAAAATTCTCTCCTATGTATATGCCACCAATGCATTTTTAATTACACTATTGCTTTTTTAGCTGAGTTTCCATAATTTATTTCATCTCACTCACCTTCAATTTCTACTCATCCATGTGTCTTTTCGTCTTACATTCTTTTCAGGCTTTCTGCTCTTGATTTACAGAGCTCATATCTCATTGCAATTTAATGAAAAAGCCAAGCAGGCTTCTAAAATGCCATTAGGAGCTAGGAATAAGTCATTTTCAGAGATCAGCAGTGCCAATGACCAAAGTACTGTCTCTGAGCTCTCAGTTCCCTCTTCCTTACCCTGCTTTATGATACTGTAGTTAGACCCTGTAGACATTTCTCCGTGGTTAGGTAGCAGAAGTTTAGGCCTAGTCAACAGTGGGCCCCAGAGAGACCTAATAAGGCCCCAGTGGAGGGAAGACACTTCTGTCCTGGGTTCTGGTTCTTCATCACTATTGTCATTATTACTATTTTACTATTTGGCATCGGAGCCCAATAGCCCAGAAAGAACTTCATTTGGGCCTTCAGGCCCAAAAGGGACTTTCTCCCCATCGGCAACTTTCTGAGTAGCTTTAGTCTGCACATATGCTCTGAATGTGACCAATAGCTCCGGCCTGCTCACTACCTGCAACAGCGGTGGACAGCTTCTATAGACCAGTACTTACCCGCAAACTCTGTTCACCCTCACTCAGCCTAGAAATAGTAGCTTCACTTTTGTACCTGCTACTTCAGGACCCCATATATCTCTTCTTATCCTTTTTTAGGAACTAATGACCTATTACCAGCTAACAATTCTTTATATTCTATTTTCCCTGTTGAAATAACTTGTGGTTTCTGTCTTATAAGCGGGTCCTGCCTTGGTACCCATGTGGGTGCCACCTCTCGTTGTGTCTGCGTCTTCCCTCACACAGTGTTTGTACATCATCGATGACCCGATTCTTTTTGGTGCTGTTTTGTTATCCTTCTTAGATCTGTAGCTCTATGCAGACTTATATGCATTGCAACTTGCCAAATTCCCAGATCCAAGTCTAGGTGGATATTCGTTGGCGTTTCCTACACTTTCATTGCTCAGCTTAATTCTTATGTCCACCACTACTGGGGACACTCCTGCCCCTGCTCCTGCCCGTAGCAGTTTACTTAGGAGACGACTCTTTCTAGGATGTGATATATAATCACCAGCTTCTTCAATCATCTTTCCTGTCCAAATGTTTGGTGAAGTTTCTTTGCAGATTCTGACATTGAAATAATCACCAGGCCTCCTTTGGGGTTAATCTCTGTGATTAAGTTTTTTTCTGACTTCTTTGTTATCTAGAAAAAAAAATCCTACTAAAAGTTATTTGAAGCCTAAAGATCCAAAATGCGATTATTTATTATATAATAAATGTAGACATAGTTTCCTAAGAATAGAATAACCCACTGCTGTCACTCCACCGAAGTCATCTTTATAGAACATCAAATTTAGAATGTGATTTCAAAACAAGGATAATTAACTTTGACTTCAACGATTTTTTTTGGCTCACTTAATAAAATGGGCCATAATTAGAAACAGAAAATTATGATACGTTATGGAAACTGCAGTCATGTAATAAATTTTAAAAGGTCTTATGAGACATTCTTATCCTTTAACTAAAACATGAAGTGTCTGCTACCCCATTTGTTATGTAATACCAAAGCACTAATTCTTAAAGATTAGATGACTACACAAGCAGACACGGGGCCTTTCCAAATCAGGAAGTTTATTCCGGAAGTTATAGTGGAGACTAAAAGGGACCATTAACCATATGTTTGGATAGTACTATGGCCAACATCAAACTTAAATCATAATTAGATGTAATGTTTATTTAGCAATAGAGGATTTATGCACTATTCCCCTGCTAGTGAAAGATGGCTGGCTTTGTATTCTACTTCACTGAAAGCTCAAATGATGTGTGTCCTCACACCTCAACACAGAGAAATTATGCATGACACAAAGAAAGGGAAGCCGTAAATCTCAAATCACTGTTCATTTAGATTATAATCATCCAAAGTTTTTCGGTGGTAGAATACATGCTCATAAATATTTGTGAGGACTCTATGTATTTTTTTGTGATTGTTCATAATGATGAAGTGTGTAGCTATTCAGAAATTTAGATTTTTAACAATGGTTCAAAGTAATAAAACATTTTCAACCAACTCCAATAAATATAATGTTTATCCAACAACCAGTAAAAATAACAGTATCGAACACAGAACTACAATTTTTTTCTAAGGAAACTTGGTTTATATTCCATCCTGATTTGTATCCACATTAGGCATCAGCTTTAATTTCAGAAGATTATTAGAGTTTGGCCACATTGCAGGATTTTGTGAATAGAATAGAACCCTTTTAAGTTTACTTATGGCTTATTCATGAGTCCAAGGGTTGGGGCAGATGCTTGGATTAAAGGTGAAAATGCAAAAAGTCAGTCACCAAAACTTATAACACTGTTCATACTTACAAAAAACTTTGGAACTCTTGAGAAATTTTGTTTTGTTTCTAAAAATGTAGTTCAAACTTAATAGTGCCATTGGCAATAGAAAAAATGAGTGTCCTGTCTAGTTTCTAATTTAATTTAAAATTTAATTTAATTTAAATTAAAATTTAATTTAATCTAATCATATAGGTAATTGAAGTCATGTATCTATATTTCCTTGAACAATCACCAATACTCCTGTTTGCCTCTAGATTATGTATTCTGGACCAGTGTATTCAAATGTTTTAGCATATATGTAGAGATGATTAGACCTTGCATGTGTGCTATGTCAGTGGAAAAAAACAGTTTACATCACTATAGTATACTACCATGGAGTCAAACAGGTCACACTTGGTCATGATGTTCCAATAATCTCCAGCCCAATGTGACCAATTAGAACACCTCTCATTAACATCAAAAATGCCCTTATTTGCCGCTCTTAATGGACACAGGCCAGCCCTAATCCTATTTGACCTGTGTTACATTTGACACACAAAAAATATTTCTTCTCTTTAAACAGTCTCTTAGGTGTTTTTTAAAAATTTTTTTGACATTTATTCATTATTGAAAGATAGAGACAGAGCATGAGCAGGGGAGGGTCAGAGAGAGAGGGAGACACAGAATCCAAGGCAGGCTCCAGGCTCCGAGCTGTCAGCACAGAGCCCAATGCGGGGCTCTAACCCACGAATCACGAGATCATGACCTGAGCCAAAGTCGGACGCCCAACCGACTGAGCTACCCAGGAGACCCCAGTCTCTTAGTTTTTAAAGCACTCACTTGGTTTATCTTCTGTCTTTTAAGCTGCTAACCGACAAAATCAAAAACTAAAAAATGAAAAATAAGAAACAACTATTTTTAGGCTGAATGCCAGGAAGCACAGTACTGTGATTTCTGAGAGAAGAAAAGCAAAGCAGTATATAAAGGAAGTTTCTAGGCTGCAACCCATAAAAGAAGAACCCAAATGAAGCCCTGCACTATAACTGGGTTGAGAAACATAGAGTATAGAGATGCTGAGACAGAATTTATTGGGCCAATAGAATATGTGTCTAAAAAATAGAAAGTCAGGGTGCCTGGGTGGCTCAGTTGTTTAAGAATCTGATTCTTGATTTCAGCTCAGGTCATGATCTCATGGTTCACAAGATTGAGGCCCCCACATGGGGCTCTGCACTAACAACACAGATCCTGCTTGGGATTCTCTCTCCCTCTCTCTCTTCCTCTTCCCCATGCACACACTCTCTCTGCCTCTCTCAAAAAAAAAAAAAAAAACTTAAAAAAAATAAATTTATGGGCACCTGGGTGGCTCAGTAGGTTAAGCATCCGACTTTGGCTCAAGTCACAATCT